AAGGCCAGGGAATCTCAATAGACGAGCTGAAGGCCAGGGAGTCTCAATAGACGAGCTGAAGGCCAGGGAGTCTCAATAGACGAGCTGAAGGCCAGGGAGTCTCAATAGACGAGCTGAAGGCCAGGGAGTCTCAATAGACGGGCTGAAGGTCGAGTCCCTATAGACGAGCTGAAGGCCGAGTCCCCATAAACGAGCATATGAAGGTTAATCTCCATAACGATCTGAAGTCTCCATAACGAGTTGAAGCCTGATGTTGCTAGACGGGCTGAAGGCTGATAGGAGCCTCCTGAACCTGAAGGTATTCTGCTCCTGACGACATGAAGGTATTCTCAGTAGACGAGCTTAGGGGAGACTCCATAGAAGAGCTTAAGATAATTTTTATAAGCGAGTAAAGAAAATCCTTAAAGTGCAGTTGAAGAGAATCCTTATAGATGAAGGGTATGCTTATCGACGAGCGAAAGGAAGTCTCCACATACGGGCTCTAAATATTACTTTTAGACGAGCTCAGGGGGTCTTTCTAGACTAGCAGAAATAGTTCTCATAGACGAGCTGAAGGGAGTCTTCATAGACCAACTGAAGTCAGTCCTCAAGTACTTTCTAAAAGGAGTCATTATAGGCGAACTGAATGGGGTTCTCTCCTGATGTGCGGAATGGAGTCCCAATAGGTGAGCTGGATGGAGTCTCATTGAGCAAACTGGAGGGGGTATTTATAGACGAGCTGAAATTAGAAAACTTTAAAGAAATGCTCTATGATTTAAAGACGAACCTTTTAAATGATTGCTATAGAAAAGTTTAACCGGGAAGAAGCGGATTTCTTTAAATATGGATGAGGTTTGTTACATTTTCAAGTCAATTCCTTCTGAAACGTCCCATACAAAATACGTACTTACACATGTATGTGTAAATTTACTTCAACCTGTGCACAAAGAAGAAAACAAGCAAAGGAAGTTATTGAATGTAAGCAAAAGATTGTCATCCTGGCAGTGATGCGCTCGTCATCATTCATATTTTTTCCTGGCCTTTTCTTGTTCTCCCTTACACCGTAAAAAGATATTTTATGACCATCCTACCGTTTCCCTCTTCCCTCCTTCTCTCTCTCGCTCTCACCCACGGTCATTAGCCTACCTGTTTTGTATAAAGAATAGACACCTACAGCTATATTGTGTAAGTATGTAAGCATGTATGCATGTATATATGTATGTATGTATACATGCCTGAATATATTCAGCTCACAATTCCATAAATATTTATGAGCAAAACGTGTGAAAAAAAGTGTCATTATGATGAATATGAAAACATTAGTTTTCCCAAGTAATTGAACGTGACATTTTCCTCGTTTTTGCCAGTTTTTGCACCCACGAGATTTTTTTTGTGTTGGTGTGTGTGTGAAGAAGAAATAACCTCCTACCCTGCCTCTTCTGTTTCAACCTTCATCCTTATGTGATTGCTTTTTCATGGAAAATTGGTTTCAACTCAAATTCAAGTGGCAGTAATGGCTAAGTAGTAATCTGAACTGGAGCGGATGGTTGGGGAAGGCAAAGTTTTTCGTCTCATATTTTCTTGAATTATGAAAAACAAAACGCTAAAGATTTTCCTCTTTCTATCAAACGCAATTTTCCTATTAATCAAAATAAAGTCCTTCGAACGCTGTATGTGTGTGTGAGAAAATAATAAATTGAAAATATACAAAAAAAAATCTTTATTAACTATTTCGAGGAGCAAAAAAGGCGAACGAATGAATGAATGCTAAGGAAATCGTAATACTAGAGGATATTAATGAAATCAAAATGAGTAATGATTCTATAAATAAGAGAGAGAGAGAGAGAGAGAGAGAGAGATAAAATAAGGTGTTGGAATCTGTTTCTTCTCGAGATGAAGGAGGTATGAGCGTTATATTACTTGACAAGGGACCTTTATTTCAAATAACAGGAAAGAAAATATTTCAATCAAGTTACGTGGAAACTGTATGCAATTTTGTACATGTCATTGTAGAGAAAAATATTGTTTTTTTTTGTTTAGAAAATCAGAGGAATTTAAAAGGATGATGAGAAAGAGATTCTTAGATGGTTCAGCCTACATCATAATAGCTCCGTAAGTAGTCATAATATACTAGCTTAGGCCAATCTTTATTGGTTGAAGTTAGGTCTATATATGAGCTAAATCGAGGGACTACAGATGACCTAATGTGAGGTTTAATAGACTACCCAAAGGGAGGCTTTAAAAGCGAGTTGAATGGAAGGAATTTTCCATATATCTATATTAATAGATACATAAAGGGGATTGTAATAGGTGAGCTGAAGAGCTTTTCTATGATGGGCGTTTTTATAGAAGAACTTTAAAAAACCGCTTTATATATACTGGCTCTGAATTGAATGTCAATATATGAGCACTGAAAGCGTATATATGCCCCGAAGAGAAACCGTGTAGGCGAGGTAAACTAAGTCTGTTGTTGGGTGTTCCATAGCCGAGCAGAAGGTAGGCTTCGTAGACAAGCAGAAGGGAGGCTCTATAGACGAGCTGAAGTCTGAGGCTCTATAGACGAGCTGAAGTCTGAGGCTCTATAGACGAGCTGAAGTCTGAGGCTCTATAGACGAGCTGAAGTCTGAGGCTCTATAGACGAGCTGAAGTCTGAGGCTCTATAGACGAGCTGAAGTCTGAGGCTCTATAGACGAGCTGAAGTCTGAGGCTCTGTAGACGAGCTGAAGTGTGAGGCTCTATAGCCGAGCTGAAGGCTGAGGCTCTATAGACGTGCTGAAGGCTGAGGCTCTATAGACGAGCTGAAGGCTGAGGCTCTATAGACGAGCTGAATGCTGAGGCTCTATAGACAAGCTGAAGGCTGAGGCTCTATAGACGAGCTGAAGGCTGAGGCTCTACCCAAAAGATGTTAACTGAATATTTGAAGACGAACTGAATTTAGTATATATTGGCCCTCTAAAGGGACAATTTATAAATGAGTTAAAGAGGGTATTTATAGATAAGACTGAAGTGAGTCTTTTCGAGTATCCTCTGAACGTGATATTTTCAGGCGATCTGAAGGCGGCTTGTATAAACGAGCTCTAAAGGAAGTTTTAATAAACTAACTGAAGGAAGTATATCGACAAGTCGAAAAGGGTAGTTATAAAAGAGAGAAAGAAAGTCGATGTAGACAGGTTGAAAACAGTTCATTCAGACAAGCCAAAGGGCGACCTAAAAGTAAGGATAGGGAGCCTTCATAGACGAGCCAGAGAAATGTAAAAACAGCTCATAAGACGAACTAAAGGGAGAATAAACAAGCGATTTAAAGGAAGAATCTCTATCGTACAGAAGATAGTCCTAAATGAAGATATGAAGTGATGAGTATAGATGGACCACAACGGCGATTTTTTATAGATCAGGAGAAGGCTGTTCCAATATAATGCTGAAGGTTCCTTTAGACTGGGAGCCATTTATAGGCATTTGGTTTGGAATCTGAAAAATCAAGTTGAGAGGGCTCTTCATAGGCGAGCAGAAGGATTGTTTACGACTCTTTACAAACAAGATGAATAGAGACATTTTATAGAAGTTGAAAAGTTCTAAGGCGAGCCAGAAAAAGAGGTTTTCACGGAAGGAGGTATGAAGAACTTTATATACATACTTCGATACTTCTATAATGAGCTAAAATGGAAATGTTGGCGGAGATAAAGTGATTATTGGTTGCCGAATCGTAAGTGTAGCTTTTGTAGAAAAGATGACCAGAGTTAAAAATATCATATCGAAATAGAGAAGTAAAAGGAGTCTTTGGTTGTGACCTGAATGTAATCTTTAGACTACCTCCAAAGGAAGAAATCTAAAAGGAGAATCTATGGTTGACGCGCCCTTACGATGAATTTGTTGATTTCTGAAATATTTATCTAAAACGAGCCGTAATTGACATCTTTTTTTTTTTCAAAAAAAGTTAGAACTTCTAATCCATGTTCATCGCAAATTATGCCAGAAGGAAGTCTTTGTGCTATGAAGGATACCTTTTATATCCGTTGGCACCATTAATGTGGGAAAGCTTAAATTATTTTGCTTTCGATTGAAATGAAATTTTGTCTCTGCGACGCAATTTGGGGAAGAGACTCAGCGGAGATTTTTTTTCTATATGGAGCAAACATTCAATTTTTATGGAGGAGCAGAATCGAGTCTCAGAAGAGAGGATTTCACAGCAATTCAATTGTGTTGTCCCAAAATAAAAATGATTCTTGGTTCTTTGTTCTGTACCGTTTGAACTCTTATAGAGCGGGATTATAGTGTGTATACTTCTTGACAACATGTATACGATAGGATGGTCAGAAGTAAGTTTAATTGTTTTACTTTAAGATTTTTGATTACCATAAATAACTTTGTAGAGAATCGTGACTCTGTGTTAATGGAGTTTTGAACCATATTTAAAAAAGTGCAAGAAGTCCCCCTTTTCAGATTATATTTCTTTGTAAACTTTCAAACCCCCGCTAGAGGTGTTCTCTTTTTTTCTCTACTTCCATAATCTACCTGGTTTTTACCATAATTATGTAAGGGAAAATTATTATTTTTTCGCAAATTGTAGTCAAGCCCATATATGCAGCATTTGGATATGCGTCTTTCAAACAATGTTCGGTGAGCTATTAATCAGTATTTTTTGAGGAGCCCTACATTTCCCATTCATTGCAATCGATTTACTTAAATCTTATAGCACTTTTGATAAACATTAAGTTTATTGCCACCCATATGGAGTATACTTTACGGCAACACTAATACGCCACATTGAATTATAGAGAAATAAGAGAAAATAGATTTTCTCCATTGTTATGTTTTAAGACTCAATTTGGATTATATATATGTTTTTGTTAAATTTTTGTAATATTAGATAATCTAATTGTATGTAGTAGAGTTCTTTTGTTAAAATCTACAACATTTTTTCATCGTCACCGTCTTGCTTGTCAATATTTTTTTGTTTAATTAAATATTATTTTTTTTTAATTTCTCAATTAAATATTATTATTAAATTCTTTTGCACTTACCTAAATTAACATATATTATATCGTCGGGTGTTACACTAAAACGGGGCGGTGCATGTACATCTAAATGGAACCATGTACCGTTCTTATGCTGCTTCGGATCACGATTTAAAAATACAACTTTACACTCGTACCATCCCTGATCCGATTCTTTGATGTTGGTCAAATTGAGCGAAGCCGAACCGAACGGTGAGTCCGGTGCCACGCGTGAGACACGTCCCTTGTAGCCGTCTTCAATGTGTTCGGGATAGCTTTCATACCATATGTATATGGGTAGATCGGAACCCTATATATATATTTACGCACACACACGCACATATATAGGGATAAAAATACAAATTGTGTGCCGTGAGAGGTGGAAGGTAAAATGAAACAAAAACACAACATTACATAATTAGTTAATTGTAAATGTCAGATGGTTTAAATTACAAAACAGTTGTATGATTCGAAAACAAAAAACAATATTTAAAATAAAATAATCAATACCATAATTGTGTGTTTTTCTGAATATGTATCAATTGTTGGATTTTTTGTTGTTGTTATGTTAATTTAAAAATGATTTGTTAAATGACAACAACAAATGCGAAAAACTTAATAATAACATAATTATTTAAATGATTTTTTAATTTGGGACTATGATGGATTTTTGTTTTGTTTGGAAATGTGATGGAGACAGAGACGAAACGAAAACTGAAAAAATTAATGATGTTTGTTGTATTTTTATGAATATCGTAAAGGTGAAAATAGTATTTTTTGTTTTTTCTAGGTTTGTTGTCGCTGTGAATATTAGTTCAAAAGGTTAGTTTAATATTGAGAAAATCTTGTTAAATTATTGTTATTTATAAAAATGAAAATAATATATATGCAATTAATTTTTACACTGACTAATATTGGTGATTGGTTAAGTTGCGTGGTTGTCTGAGAGTGTATGCGTGCATAATAATACATTAATTATTTAGAAATAAAACACTGTGCTACGAAAACTCTGTACTCTGCTTTTTCTACACCATGTGTTTTAGGGACAAAATTTGAAGTATAAATATCTTTTGTTTTTATTATTATTACTATTATTATTTTTTAGCGTCCTCCATCATTGTATAGAGGGTATATGAAGTTTTTCATTTCTTTCGTTACTCCTCGAAATAAGCACAAACTCGAAATAAGCACACAAGGTCCACGATTTGATATACATCTGAGGAAGAATCTATAGACGAGCTGACGGGTGATTTTATAAACGAATCGAAGGGCGACTCTATAGATGAGCTAAAGTACAACTCTATAGACGAGCTAAAGGACGACTCTAACGAGTCGGAGGTGGACTCTACAGACAGGCTGAAGTGCGACTCTATAGACGAGCTAAAGGAGATCGACTCTATAGACGAGCTCAGGAGGTCGACTCTATAGACGAGCTCAGGAGGTCCACTCTATAAACGAGCTCAGGAGGTCGACTCTATAGACGAGCTCAGGAGGTCGACTCTATAGACGAGCTCAGGAGGTCGACTCTATAGACGAGCTCAGGAGGTCGACTCTATAGACGAGCTCAGGAGGTCGACTCTATAGACGAGCTCAGGAGGTCGACTCTATAGACGAGCTCAGGAGGTCGACTCTATAGACGAGCTCAGGAGGTCGACTCTATAGACGAGCTCAGGAGGTCGACTCTATAGACGAGCTCAGGAGGTCGACTCTATAGACGAGCTCAGGAGGTCGACTCTATAGACGAGCTCAGGAGGTCGACTCTATAGACGAGCTCAGGAGGTCGACTCTATAGACGAGCTCAGGAGGTCGACTCTATAGACGAGCTCAGGAGGTCGACTCTATAGACGAGCTCAGGAGGTCGACTCTATAGACGAGCTCAGGAGGTCGACTCTATAGACGAGCTCAGGAGGTCGACTCTATAGACGAGCTCAGGAGGTCGACTCTATAGACGAGCTCAGGAGGTCGACTCTATAGACGAGCTCAGGAGGTCGATTCTATAGACGAGCTCAGGAGGTCGACTCTATAGACGAGCTCAGGAGGTCGACTCTATAGACGAGCTCAGGAGGTCGACTCTATAGACGAGCTCAGGAGGTCGACCCGTCGAGGTGAAGGGATTTAAGGGATTTTTTGGGCCTTAAGACAAATTTATCTACTGAATTAGTGGACAGTAAACATCAAAGATCAAAAATTACGTTATATGTATACCCGTTATATAACGGCACCTCCCTACATTCGGTACTTGATGTTTGAAGCCGAATTTTTCAACCGAATTCTCTGAATATTGGTATTTGGACTTAATAAGAAGGTGATAGCCTTCTCTAACGGATAATTCTATATTCGAAATTTTTTATAGCTCCTATACAGAGATCGGTACCTCCCGATGTTGGGTCGTTGGATGAATTTTGCCAAATTTTTCAGCGGAATTTTCTTAAAGTTTTTATTTGAAATTTACTATAGGTAGCACCTTTTCTGGCAGATAGCTGTGTATAGAAGTATACATCATAGAGCTGCTACATAATCGGGATATACCTCCCTATCCCTATTGAGTCACATTTGTCATGGATTATTTCAAATTTAATATTTATACCTTCCACGACAGAAAATTGTCCATACTCGTAAAGTCCTAACTGACCCTCCTTATATTCGGTACTTCGATTATAGAATTTTTGAGTAGGGCATTTGAAAATTGTAATGGCTACCACCCCCTCTGGTTGCAAATTGTCTTCATAGGTTAAGCTTTTTAAAAGCCCTCATATACTTTCCGATATAGTTTTCTGGTTGTTTTTACAGTTATTTTACATTCGCTCCAAAATGGCTACATTTTGAGAGTATCATAAGTCGATATGGCAACGATTGAGAACTTTGTTAATACAAGGATATTTTTTACGATTTTTTTTTTGAAAATTTTCTGATAGTTTTTTCATGTACTAAGCTTGTTTTTACTATGATTATCTATCCAAAAGGATTTCTTTAATATAGCTCGTACAAAATATAATACTTTAATTTAACCCAATATATATTTTAGGAATTTTGACAAATTTAATTGAAATTCCAGTAATTTTAAATGTTAAATATTATTTAAATGGTGGTCGTCACTAGGGGGTGCTTTGGAAGGTATAAGGTGAAAATGTAACCACAGTAAGGTACCTTTCTAAGCCCACCCGATGCAATTGTAAAAAATAAACATTATTTCCCATTAAAGCTTTGTTTCAAGACCTTTTCAAAAGTGGTCATCTTTACAGAGTATCATTTATGGTTTACAAGAGAGATAATTGCTCCATTAGGATGTAAAAAAAGAGAGGTATTTTCGATAAATGGGCTATATTTTACATTTAAGCCTTGTCTTTGATCGGTCTTATGGTGTGACTTTGGCATTGATATATAATATGGATTGGACACATAAAGAATTTTCCAATAGTGATCATATTTACAATGTATTATTTTCGGCTTAAAATATATGAGCTTGAAAATTAACCCCCATAGAGTGAAAAAATCTTCTTATGATCGCTTTGACGAGTTGGGATTTTTGGCTTAGAATATATAAGCTAGAGAAATTGTCCTTTGAAAAAACCCTCTCCAATATTTTTACAAAATTGTTACCAATATAAATTTGTCTCTTTAATTTATTTGTAGCATAGTATATATATTGCTGTTTGGAAAAAAAAATAATAATAAAGTATTTGAAATGGAATAAAATAACTAACAGCCAAACCATAAAATTCTTAGTGGATATTATTTTCAAATATCAAAACAAAATAAATTTGCTTTTAGTCTTTCACTACAAATATTCTGTTCAATTGCACTATAAATATTTGAATTTTAAAGCTGGAAAAATATTAATTGAATTTAGAAAATAAACACAAAACACGAATGCATGCATAATGAAAATATATACATATATACACTTATATGTTCATTCAAATAATAAATAATGAATTGAACGCTACAAATATAATTTGTTGCTAATAATGAATAAAAATCGGCAGTTAGATAGAATTTCCAAAATGGTAGTAAAATTTGGGAATTTATTAAAAAAAAATAATGTAAATAACAATTAAAATTCAAAAAATCAAAAAAACTTTGGAAATTACTTCCAATGCAAAATCGAACCGTGTTCTTATCAAAAATCTTAAAAAAATTAGGAATTCCATGTTTTAGAAAATCGGCATCTTATAATTGTTCTGTATTAAAATTCAATCAAGATGAATTAAAAGAGAACTAATTTTTGGGCAGAATATGAGCACCATAAGCTCCGTATTTAAACAAGCTAAATTGTCGCATTTGGGACATAGAAAATCAGAATGCATACATTGAAAATCTGATGAACCCAAAGCAAGTTACTGTAATTTACGGATTCTGGTCAAGAGTTCGGCTATTTTTCTTTAAAAGAGAGCAAGGAGTGCAAATCTTATATACTGAATGAATTTTGCCTCAAAAAAGTTTAGAAGGAGGATATATGAAACATTTGATTGGACGGCGTAAGGTGTAATACAGCCGAAGATACACTCAATAAAAAATGGACCTTATTATACCCTCCACCTTGGAAAGGAGGGTATATTAACTTTGTCATTCCGTTTGTAACATCCTTAAATATTCGTCTTAGACCCATAAAGTATGTATATTCATAATCAGCATAAAATTCTAAGTCGATTTAACGATGTCCGTCTGTCTGTCCGTCTGTCTGTCCGTCTGTCTGTTGAAATCACGATACAGCCCACATTATTTGACGTAGAGCGCCAAAATTTAGCAGAGCTATTTGTATTGTATCTGGGATGGTTGGTATTGAAAATGATCCCGATATTCGGTATTTTGATGATTTATGCCACATTTTTTCATGGATTTGTCTGAAAATTGGTATTTGTAGGTCATAACGGGTCCCTGAGCGTGTGGCAGAACATTGCATGTATAGGTCCACGTTGTGGTATAGCCCCCATATAAAGGTACCTTCCGATATTCGGTATTTTGATGGTTTTTGCCACATTTTTTCACTGATTTGTCTAAAAATTGGTATTTGTGGGTCATAATGGGTCCTAGTTCGTGTGGCGAAACATTATAATTATAGGTCTACGTTTTGGTGTAGCCCCCATATAACGGTACCTCCCCATAGTTGGCATTTTAATGGTTTTTGCCACATTTCTTCTAATGTTTCTTTTACCCTAAGGTGGAGGGTATTAAAAGTTTGGCCCGGCCGAACTTAATGTTTTTCTACTTGTTTTACTGTATATGAATTTGGTCACTTATTAATGTATACCATTTTAGGGTGATATGTATCGAATTTTCAAAAATCGGACACATATTTCACATTCTGGG